AGTGGTCAGGTGGGTCGTGGGATAAGAGATCCAACAATGACGAGTGGCGTCATCCTTGTAACAATGAATTGGATCAAATGCTTTGAATAGAAGATGGTTAATGAGTATAAGAAAGTTTGGGCGCAAATACGGATGCTTATAATTAATAAATAAATGTTTTACTTCATTATTGAGTGTACAAGTTTACAGTCAACTTTCAGGATGGGGGCCGTCAGGGTAATTACAATAATGGGAGGGATAGACACCGGCATTCACAAGAAACGACCGAGGTAGAACCTCATTAGCTCGGGCGGAGATGGGATTAGATCAGACGAGCAATGCAGTCTGCAGCGAGGGTTGCTTGTGGATCTGATGCGGTAGCCCACCCGAGACATTGGATATCTGACGAGTCAGTACGACTGGTGGAGAAAAAGCGGCAAATCCCGACCGCCCGGAATCAAGGCATGACTAGGTGGCGTCTGCAGCGTCAGCTCACCAAGAGCCTCAAGAAAGACCGTGAGAACTATTGGGGGGGGGGGNGGGCGATAACCTCGTAGACTCCATCATTGATCTAATGCGTGACATCTGGTCGCACGAGCGCATTTTTAAGAAGGGATCTCGCGACGACTGAACAAACCACCATGGAATATGTTTGATCCCAATCGTCACCAAGTTATTAACCTCCGTCATACTTCGACATCAGATACCGTCGACCAACGGTTGTTGTGTTCCTGGACCTAAGAAGAGCCTTTGACTCAGTTGACCGCGAATCCCTTATGAGTTCGCTCCTTCGCAAAAGAATGCTGCAGAAGTACGTGAACATACTGTGTTCACTCTACTCACATACTTCAAGTAGCGGAATAGTCTATACTAAGCTGAGTAGGTCGTTCGTAACTAGCAGCGGTGTTCGTCAAAGGTGCCCTCTTTCGCCATTGCTATTCCGTTTCGTCAGAGACCAAATACTGGAGAACACACTAAGTGGTTTCCAATACTTAGGTATTGAGTGGGCAATTGGAGAAAAGCTGTGTGACCTAAAGTACGCTAACGACATTGTTTGTCTGTTCGAATGTATGGATGCACTAAGTGCACTTGACAGACTAGCAAGTTCTGTCACTCCGTTCGGCATGCGCTTTGCATCTTCAACTTGCACAGTGATGCTGCAAGACTGGGTGTCACCGAGTTCCGTTCTGAAACTAGACGGTCAGGAATTGGCTGACGTCGACCGCTTCTCGTATTTGGATAGGTGCGTGACCAACGACGGTAGCGCATCAAAGGAGATAGCTGCGCCCCCCCCCTCCCAAAGCTCAAGCAGCGTACACCTGTGGCGACCACGTGACGTTCCACTGAAGTTGAAAAGTCGCGTATACTGCCCCACTGTAAGATCAGTTCTGCTTTTCGGTTGTGAGACCTTGAATTTGCGGGTAGAAGACATCCGTCGTTTAGCCGTGTTCGACAACCGATACTTACGTAGTCTGGCCTAGTTGGGATGAGGTGAGCGGGTTAGTAACTCAGAAGTAAGTCGCCGGGTGTTTAGGAATGCATCGAACAAGAACTGATTATCGAATTCAGCTCAGTGGGCTCGTTGGTTAGGACACGTTTTTCGTATGTCCGATGGTTGCCTACCACATCGCGCCTTATTTGCAGTAATTATTGTAGGCCATGTGGAGGCCAGCAGTTGACGTGGAGATAAGGCACGAAAAAATGCAAAGAGTGATTAGGTACAGTAAGTGTCTCTCGTCTCCCGTGTTGGGGTTCAAAAGAATCCGTAACCGTATGGTTGTAGACACTAAAGGGTATGGCAGCAAACTGATAGCAGTGGCGTTCTATTCCTTTCTTATCAGACCAGAAAGTTTGAAACGGTATGTGTGCGCGTTTAGATTGTGTGCTCTGTGTTGACCATAGAGGTTGGTTTTCTTTTCCCATCCCTAAAATTAAGTCCAATCCCTGTCGACCTTACATATTACCGCTAACCTTGTATGCTTTATGAGTTTGGCAGCGATCAGTGAAGTTCGCTTCACTGTATTCCGCTGTACAATGATGATGATGAAACTACGTTACGATAGCTAGATGGAACCCGAACATAGGTAATTTCCATAGCAGACCTTGGTGCCAAACTCGGTTGAAAGCCTTTGCAATATAAAGGGCAACGGAAGGAGTTTCTCGTTCGGTGGGGCAATCTCTGACTAGTCCCCATGAGCTATTTTTACCCACCAGTTTTCACAGTCCTTCTTCCCAAGGTATTTTGTGTGTTGACGTTGCAGATGCCACCTATCACTGTTTTGATCCTAACCGATCGGGATTTTTCAGCTATTCTTCATCAGATTTACGAATCCACAAGTGATTCAGTTTCTATTACGGGTTCCAGGTTCGGATTTAAAATTTTTGTTCGCTGCCGAGTGCTTTGTCCGTCAAATCTGGTTCCATTGATAATCCACCCTGCCATGTCTCGGCATTCCTGGTTCATGCCTCATCTCTTCCTCATTGCAAGCACTAGCACGGCTTCTTGGATATTATCCAAAGAGTTTCATTGCAGTAAGATTGGCTTAAAGTAAAATTTGATTAACTGGTGGGGTTATTCGATGTTAGATTACGGGTGATCTTTTTCTTACGTTCTTTCCATATACAGTTAAGTAGTTTGAGAACACTGAGCTGGTTCTGTGCATCAGAGCAAGTTGCTAGGATATCGACACACATATATAATATTTTTTTATTACATCTAAGTGTGATGAACAGCAGACGGGGTGAACCCCATATATATATATATGGAAAAGACAACGATTATTCATCTAAATTTATTATGCTGTTCATTTTTCATTTCAGTCCAGCGAACGACCTGATTTTCCATGCTCTCATCAGTCCACCGATGTGTTCTGCCTACACCGATCCTTTGCGATTGGAGTTGATTTATTCAGCTCTCTTTTCCTGTCCAGATATACTGGCTCCTTACTTGGACCATACGGCTCCACTTCTTTATCCGCGTGCGAATTCCTCCAATTGGGCCCGTTTGATGAATTTAATATGCGGGGTTAGTTTTTTGGAATCCAGCGTTTACTAAATATTTGTTAATCAATCCCGTTACAAGACAAATAATGCCGTCATTTCTTACACTCAGTGACCTTAAAATTAATCGAACCCAACATTATGTTAGTAGTTGTTCGACAGGGAATCACGAATTATTTCAAAGCTCCAGCACAATCGCCGATATAGGAGCTAGTGCAGTTATATCCAGTATTATTACTGACGATCAAGTATAACTGTCACATGCTTTGGTATACATGAATTCAGTCTCCGACCACCAGTGAACTCCTTGTCTATTTATTACTCAAAGAAATCCAGTCATGTTGCGTGATACTGCCAGGCATCCCAGGGCATGAGTCAAACGTCCAAGGTACCCAGTACTCGATGACCAATGGAGTCAGTTACCAACACTATAATTACAAAGGTGTATTTGTTTGTGGATCGTACGCCTCTTGTTGGTCTCGAATCAGGCTTCTTATCCAACTCCCCTAGGTGGGCTCTGGGCACTTCACCGATTGGGTTAAAGCTCCGGATGTTTACGTTTCGTCCTCTTGCTTTTGTTGAAGGACCTCTCCACACCGTGAAGGTAGTAAGAGAGCTTTGTAAGCAGAGGCTATCATATGGGGCCGTTTTGCGAAACGTAAGGGAAGAGTAATCAGTTGCAGTCTAAGATACCTACCCCACATGATACCAAGGCTCTCAGAAGTACGCTCGGCATGAGTTACAAGTATCTTGCTTTGAGTTGTTCCTCGAGCTTTCCGCAGGACTCCTCAGTTTTCACC